CCATGTATCCAGAAGAAACCTTTGTTAAAAAAAATTTTTTTTAATGATGTGTATGTGTGGGTGTCTGCATGTGAGTATGTGCACATGGATGCAGGTACCCAGGGAGGTCAGATGTGTCAGATCCCTTTGGAGCCATCTGTATGGTCGCTAGGAACCAAACTCCAGTCCTCATAAGAGTCATATGTGCTTTTCACCACTGAACCATCCCTTCAGCTCCAGAAAACACTTTCTGATCTATCAGAGAACAGGTAACATTGTTATGAGGGCCAACTCACAGCTGAGCCACAGGAGACCCCAAATGTGCAGCAAGGAGGTTCTCGTACCTGTCTGCCTGTAATCCCACCCACTGTCAACGGGTAGGGCAAAGGACAGAATCTGAGAAAATTACAGCAGGACATCTCCCTGGCCACAGTGACCAGCCTAGATCCGGGCACGTGTTTGAAGGGAGCCCTCCCAGAAGCCCTTACAAACTTTCTAACCAAACCTGGTAACAAATAATACCATTTCCTTTCTGGTCAGAACTCTGAACTGACTGACATGCGTCCTTTTCTCTCTAGGTTGGGCGGGATGCACAGCCCATCTGCAGAAGCAAGGGCGAAGTCAGCCCCTGAGAGACAGCGAGGAGAAGGCGCAGAAGATTCTCTGGTCATCAAGTCGGCCTCAGCCTCCCTCCGACCTTCCCCATCCTTGGCCCACCTGCGCAGTCATTAAGACCCCTTTCCTCCCAAACTGATACAAGTTGGGTCTGGGCCATGTACAGCCCACAGCCTTGCCTTAGTACTGAAAGTGGTATTTGCCTTCTGCAGGAATGATTGATTGGGTTGGTGGGTAGAGAACACAGCTGGCCCGGAGCACAGGAGAAAAAGCATGTGGTTTCTCCTAGCTGACTCTGCTTCCTGTAGGTTGGCCGCACTGCATCTTCAAGTTACCACAGAACACCTTGCAGGGCAGCCGGCCGGGCCTCTCTGCATTTTCCCAGGCAGCTCTGCTTCCTGCCAGTAAGCCCCACCCTCAGGCTTGCTCCAGCAGGCCCAGCTGTGAGGAGGGGGCGAATAGGGACAGCCATCAACAAGGGATGCATTCTGGGCTGCTGGCGACTGTTATCAGCTAAGCCGGGGCTCTGACTCACCTGCCTCTGTGGGCAGCCCGTGGGTGTGGGTGGTGTTTGATTTGCCTCTGGGCTTCCCTTTGCCAGGACCTGTGAGTGGAGGTGGACGCTCACTCAACAAAGGGCCATTGTTCTCTTCCCCCCACTATGAGGCTCTTTCCAGGACTTCCCTGAGCTGGCTTTTGTCTCTCATCCTCCTCTCTCTGGCCCCCATCCTTCTGGCTTTCCCCCACACTCCCCTCACCAGCAGCCAGGGAGAGTGGCTGGTGTAGGCAGGAGATTCCCAAGGGGTGGACATCCTCCAATGCAGTCAGAGGGAACATCTGAACCCATGACCTCGGGGTTCCCCACTTCCTTGATCTTCCCGAGACCCCTCCACCTGCTGCAGACAGTGACCAAGCTGTCCTGGGCTTGTGGTATCACGTGTTGGCCAGCCTTGGGACTATCTGGGAGGTGGGGTATGTACCACAATCTTGTTTCTCTTTGTGGGGGGTTGTTTTTGTTTTAAACCTTGCTCGGGGTGGCTCAGCCCATTCCTTCTCAGGCCATCTTTTCAACTCTGATTACAGCTCTATGGACTTCCTCTGCTGCCTCAGAAAGCCTTTCTTTACCAGGGTGCTCTGTCTAGCTGACTGAGGTGAAACCAAGGCTGCCCCCCATCTCCAGGAAAAAGCGAGTCAAGAGTCAGAAAAATAGAAAAGAATAATTCCAGTTTCTTAGGTCTTTGAAAAGCTCTTGGAGGTTTCCTCCCCAATGCCCCGCCTATCACCCCATACTCCTGAGAAAAAGCTGGCTTTTCTCTGGGTACCAGCCATAGAAACAAGCAGACTTTTCTAGACCCACATCATTTTCCAGTCCTCCATATTGGCCTTGTCATGGAGCTGTTTTTTCTTTCTTATGTAGATGGGAGACAGCCCAGTTTGGTGATGGCTCAAACAGACGTTTAGGGCCCTGCCTCAGAAATGGAGTCCCAATCATATACTGAGTCTGATTTTCTTTGCGTGTGTGTGTGTGTGTGTGTGTGTGTGTGTGTGTGTGTGTGTGTGTGTCTGTCTGTCTGTGTCTGGGTGTGTGTGTTTAAATTTCTGAGACCCCTGAATCACGTAGCCCCTGGCCTTGGACTCACTGTATTGCCAAGGATGACCTTGAACTCTTGATACTGTTCCCCTCACCTCCTGGACACCAGAGTTGCAGGTGCGCACTGTGAGCCACACTCAGTTTCATGCAGTTCTGGGGATGAAGCGAAGGGCTTCGTGCATGCTAGGCAAACACTCTGCCAGCTGAGACTCACTAGCCCGAGTCCTCGCTCCATCAGCTGCTCCATCAGCTGCAATGCCAGCCCACTTTCCAGAAAGACGTTTCAAGCCCAGCCCAGCCGTGGATCGGGCGAGCGTGATTACGGACGTTCAAAAGCGAGCTAGGGAAGCAGGGGTGGCGAAGCGGCCCTGTGCGCACACAGAGCAAGGAGAAAGGACAAGGGGCGACCGAGAGGAGCAGAGGGGTGCGAGTCGGGTCTGCGAACAGCTACGAACACCCTCTGCATGTGTGCAGGGGCCCCGTGGAAACAGGGCTGTGCCGTGGGAAGCCAGGCAAGGCGATAACGCCATATTCCCACCAAACCAATATTTGCTTTCCGTCAGTTCCAATTCTAACCTGGAGGAAATGATTCCTGCCTGCGGAAATGAGGGAGCAGACAGAAAGGAGGATGCCTGCTGACACCACTTCATCTCCTCTCTGAAGTTCAGCCGTGACCCCAGCTTGCTCCCCCAGCTACACAAACAAAAACTCTTCGGACCCTGCCCAAGCCCCTTAGAGATCGGCGGCTGCTTTACCGACGGCTCATCTCTTGCAGCGAGGTTATCTGGCCCATGGCACGGTTCCCGGCACGATTTTCTCCATCATCTTAAGATGCTGGCGGTTCAGATTGCCTCATAGAGATGGCTTCTGCCCGACACTGGGCGCTGAGTACTCTGTCTCAGTTAGTCACCCTGGCACAAAATGCCAGGGCTCCAATCCTCCTGGAGAAACTGATGCTGAGAAACAGTAGCTACGCCCTAGGGTCGTTGCTGGTAGACTTGCCACTGAGCTAACGTCAGAATTCAATTTCATCTCTCTTATTCCAAGGCCCCTCCCTGCTTTCACTCCCTAGCACCACCAGAAAACAGCACAAGACGGAGGAAGGGAATGAGAGACACCGGCACGGGTTCCCCTGTATGCGCAAGGTGAAGTCTTGTCGTAGACTGAGAGGCGTGTGTGCAGCATCCAGGCCGGGGCCCCTTCTCTGGGTCAGGCACACTAGCTCTAGCAGGGTGGACCTAGGTCTGGAAGAAGCCCGTGAGAAACTTTTTCGAGAGGAATCTCTCCTTCTGCACTGGAGTAGAAGCTGAAGAAAGTCACGTGCACGGGCCAGGTGGAAGCAGTAACATGGAGCCTGGGATCTGACCCTGGTGGACTCTTCTCTTCTCATCTTCCTCCCTCCAACCTCCCGCTCAGCTCAGCTCAGCATCTGCCGAGTTGGGGAGCAGTTCCTGACTCCACCAGCAGAGGTCTCCAGAGCAGAGGGCTAGAGGGCTTGGGGGCAGGGCAGGCTGCACACAGCTCTCGGCCCTTGTTCACAGGTGTCCACATGCATGGGTGGTCTTTACTCATGCACAGGTGTGTCTGTGCTTGTGTGTATCCTGGTGAGCGGGAATAAAATGAATGTGTCTGTGTTTGTGGGCGTGAATCTACAAACAAGACCACGATGGCTGGCCTGTGTTGAGGCATCCTCTCTGCACATGTAAGCACTGTGCGTAGCCCCATGAGTAAGTGTGAGCACTGGCTGCCTGTATAACATGCATAGACATGCATGCTTGAGCTTGTAAGCAAAGAGGGAAAAAAAAAATAAGTAATGCGAGCCAGGTGTGGTATGCACACCTGTAATCCTGGCACCCCGAAGGAAGAAGCAAGATTGCCTGTGATTTTAAGAAGCCTGTCTGATCTACATAGCCAGACCCTCCCTGAAGGAGAAGCTGTGTGTGGTGTGGTGGCGCACACCTTTAATCCCAGCACTCCGGAGGCAGAAGCAGGCATATCTCTGAGTTTGGGCCAAGGTTATATTGTGAGACCCTAGTTAAAAAAAAAAAAAAAAAAAAAAAAAGGTGTGTGGGTCGGAGGGGGGTAGATAGCAAAGGAGGATTTTGACATCTCAACCCAGCCCCTGAGTCTGTCTGTTAAGACCCCTTTGACAGCGGGTGCTGCTGATGGCCAGAGCTCTGGGTCTATTCTGATTCCATTTGCAATCTGTAGGCCTTGTTCTTTGGGGGGAGAAAGGTAGGCAGGAAGAAGGTGGGTGGCTGCTGGTGGCTGGTGGGTGGATGGCTGGTTCGCCCCTAGAGGACAGAGAGCTGAAGCCAAGCTTGAGACCAAGCCAGGACCAGAGCCCAGCTGTGCCCCGCTGCTGGAAGTCCTAGCTGGGGGCGGCAACTTCTCGGACCCGTGTTGGAGCTTCCCTGGGGCTGAGGGGACAGGTCAGCCCGTGGTTGTGAGCATGCCTGGCCTGAGGGAGTGAAATAGACCCTGGGCCCTACCACAGGAAGCTGTGTTAGCTTCCAAGGCTCCTATAACAAGCTTCATGCAGAGAGGCTTACATCACAATGGTCTCATCACAATGGTCTCAGCACACTGCCCCTGGGGCCAGCTCCCAAGAGCGGCATCCTTGGACTCAAGGCTCTTCAGGCTGGCTGTACTGAAGCAGAGGCCCCCTTGCCTTTCCCAGGGTCCAGGGCCATCCTTATCCTGTGTGTGTGGCCCCTTCTCCTGCCCTCAAGTCAGCCACAGGCAGCCCCTTCAGACCCTCACTGCTCCCACCGGCTCTTCCTCGCTTGCTCCCCTCTCTCTTCTGAGGACTGTTGTGAGAACGGAGACGCCCACACAAGCCTGACAATCTTCCGGTCTGCAGAGCCTTAATGTACTTACGCCTGCAAAGCCCCTTTGCCTGTAAGGTGACCAGAGCCCAGATTCTGAGGACTGGGATACGTACATCTTTCAGGTAGAGGGTACATTTTTTCTGAGTATCAAAAAGAATGGCTGACGGAAGAGGGTAACACTCTCTTTTCTTTTTTCTTTCTTCCTGTTTTTTTTTCCTTCTTTCAGTTAATAGGTATTGAATCCAAGGTCTGATACATGCTAGACCAGAGCTCCTACCACCTAGCCTTTGTTTTGAGATAGTCTCGCTAAGTTAGTTGCCTGAGCTAGTCTTGAACTCACTTTAAAAAAAAAAAGATTTATTTATTATGTATACAGAAGAGGGGTGCCAGATCTCATTACAGACGGTTGTGAGCCACCATGTGGTTGCTGGGAATTGAACTCAAGACCTCTGGAAGAGCAGTTGGTGCTCTTAACCTCTGAGCCATCTCTCCAGCCCGAACTCACTTCTTGTAGTCCAGGCTGGCCTTGAATTTGCAATCCTCCTTCCTCAGCCTCCTAGGTAGCTGGGATTACAGGCCTCCACTAGCAGGCCCTGCTGGGGGTAGAGAGGGGCATCCTCTTTAGATGTAGTTTTAATTATGTGTCTGTGTGCCTGTCTGTGTTGGGGTATGTGCATGTGAGTGAAGGTGACCACAGACACCAGAAGAGGACTTCAGATCCCCTGGACCTGGGGTTACACGTGGTCATGAGCTACCGGAAATGGGTGCTGGAAACCCAGCTCAAGAGCTCTTAACCACTGAGCCATCTCTCCAGCTCTACGACATCCTCAGTCCTTCCCTCGTTTTGCTGAGACACCCGTGAGGACACACTCCCCTTCTGAAGGCACTCTTCCTTGTTGAGGACCCTCTGACCCTGGCAGTGCTCTGTAGGAAACGGAGCTGTTCCAGGCACCAGAACCAGCTCTGACTGGTGAAGAGCCTGCCCTTCGTCTTGCTCTGCAGCAGCCCAGGGCCAGGAACTCATTATTGACCCCTGGGCCCCTTCTCCTCCCCTCATCCCTACCAGCCCACTCGGCACCCAGCCCCTGACCAGGCCTGGGTCTATAGTGATGCTCTTTGGAGGGTTTTCATCAACTCTCCTTTGGTCCCTCTGTCCCGCTTCACTAGGCCACCTTTTGACGATGGGGCTGTGCCCTGCCAGCTTCAGCCCTCTTCATGTGGGTGAAACCACACCCATGGGCTCCCCCATGGAAAGCCCAACCACACAGCTCAGCATGAGGAAGGAGGACATGCATGACATTACAGGTCAGTGCTGGGGGGCCAAGGAGACTCCCGGTGTCCCAGATGCCTTCCAAAGCGAAGCTCCACAGCCCAGTCGGCACCACATCTGGAAGCAGGCTGGAAATTCCAACCAGGCTCCCCTGCTAGGAAATGTGTCAAATCCTTCCCGAGATTTCATGGAAGCAGGAAACACTGGAGGGGAGGGGGGGCTGACTCCGCGGGACCCCAAGAGCATTGGAGAAATCCAGATGTCACCAGGAGTCCCCAGCCCTTAGCCCTTGCTCGCCTGCCCCCACAAAGAACATTAAAGCTGCCTGGAGCGAATGACAAAACTCGTGTCTCCCTGGGACCCACAAGTCCCTGTGTGCGTGTGAAACGCCGAGTTCTTCAGAGAGGCTGAGTTATTTTTTCCTGGAGAGAAAAATGTTGACATGCCTTTGGAGGGTCATCCGCCCAGAAAATCCCAAGGCATGAAGAAGGCATGGTCTCTCCTCTCTCCGACACACGCACACATCTCCCAGAGGCCCACCAGCTCATCCGCCTCAGCACACTAGTGTCCTCAGGGACTCACCATCACTCCTCGCCCAGCTCATCCATTTCTCAAAGCTGGGGTCACCGAGCAGGACTGGCCACTGGCTCCTTCCTCATGTCTCAGCAAGGGTAACTCTCCGGTGATTGCCATAGCCAAGATCAGATCAGATGCAGATGGCTGCAATCAGCACGTGTCCTCTCTAGGTCTGGAGGCTGGAAGTTCAAACTCAATGTCACTGGGCTAAAGTCAGACATCTACAGTGTGGAACCCCCTGGAGGCTCAGGGAAGTTCACTTCCTTGCCTTTTTTTTTTTTTTTTTTTTTTTTGGTTTTTCGAGGCAGGGTTTCTCTGTGTAGCTTTGCACCTTTCCTGGAACTCACTTGGTAGCCCAGGCTGGCCTCGAACTCACAGAGATCTGCCTGGCTCTGCCTCCCAAGTGCTGGGATTAAAGGCGTGCGCCACCACCGGCCGGCCTTCCTTGCCTTTTGTAGGTGTCTAATAGATGCTTATATCCCTTGGCCTGACGCCCCTTCCGCCACCTTCAGAGAAAAGAACACCTCCACCTCTGCTCCCTTCATGGTATCACTTTCTCTAATTCCAGCTCGTCCTCTGTCCCTCTTCTAAGGTCACTTGCGATTAGATTAGACCTGCCTCAGCAATCTCTGCCTTAAGATATATAACTTGATCACTCCGGTAAAATCCCCATTGCTCATTCACAGGTTGTAAGGTTGGGATTCACTGTGCACCCTTCTGCAGCAGAGGCCCCTCCCTGGGCATCAATTTCTCACCTGTTGCTTCAAGGTAGGTCTTCCAGTTCTGAGGGCCGCGGACCCTCTTTCCTCATTGGATCTCTAGTTAAATGGGCGTGGCCTCTCCACTCTGCTCAGAGCGGTCTCGGAAACTCACATGGCCTCCTTTCCATGGTGAGAAGCAAGGCTTGTCTACCCCACCTTCAGTACCAGGAGGCTGTGCCCACCGCAGGGCTCTCAGTCTACCCGAACAGCATGCTCTGCCCTTGAAGAGTTTACTGGAACCCCAGGATCTTAGTTTTAACTTTCTCCAGGGCTGGACCTCACTTGCCCACCCATCGTTTGGGAAGAAATCTTAGCCCCTGGTGGACGAGGCTGGAGAGGTGGTGAAGACAGGTACGCAGAAGAGGGAAGGGAGGGTTGTGGGTCCCTCTCCTAACACTCTTCCCAGTGCCTCGGTCTCCCGGGGCTCAGTCGTGCAGCCCCCCCTGGCCTCCTCAGCACTGTGCTGACACGAACCCCTAGGGTAACCAAGAGCCCTTGGAAGCCAGGTGAGCCGCTAAGGTGCCCGAAGGGCTGGGGGAGGTGATGCTGCATTTTATGCCTAGAAACATTAGAACTTGGAGGCCATTGCACATGCCTGTGAGGAGATGCAGCCATGGCTTAGACCATGCTGTCCCCACTGCCTGGTGTCTCCCCAACTCCGTTATCTCTGACTCAGGAGTCCCCTGCTGCAGAAAGTGTCCCATCAAGTCTAAGGGAGCTAAAGCCCTCCACAGTGCTCCCAGAACTGTGGAATAGCTCCCCGTGTCCAAGTCAGGGACTGATTCCGTCCTACAGAAACCCTGCCTCGGAGGGGCTTAGAATAGGAGAGGAGCAGTTAGGAGTTGAGATTAGCCCCACACTCTGCTCAGCCTGCCCTCCAAAAGGGCCTCTCTCATCGTACGAGGGGGCTGGTTCAAGCATCAGCTTGCCACAACGTAGGATCATCTGAGAAAGGGGTCTCCGTGGAGGCGCTATTGCGATGAGGTTGGCCCGTGGGCGTGTCTGTGGAGAGACTGTCTTTATTCCTTGAGGTGGGAAGAGCCAACCTGAATGCAGGTGGCACCGTTTCATGAGCTGGACCCTGAGCTGTAGATGTGTGAAGAACACTGGCTGAGCAGCAGCGGCCAGCAAGCAAGGATGCTGTGTTCATCCTCTGGCTCTTGACCCGGGATGTATGCGGTACTTCAAGTTCCGGCCAGGACTTCCCTGCAGGAATGGACTGTAACCTGGAATCGCAAGCCAAACAAATCCTTTCTTCCCTAAACTGCTTTTTGTCGGGATATTTTTTGATAGCAACGGCCTCCTGGTACTGAATGCAGGGTAGACGAGCCTTGCTTCTCACCATGGAAAGGAGGCCATGTGAGTTTCCGAGACCGCTCTGAGCAGAGTGGAGAGGCCACGCCCATTTAACTAGAGGTCCAATGAGGAAAGAGGGTCCGCGGGCCTCAGAACTGGAAGAACTGAGAGTAAAACAGTGTACCCCAGCAACAGAGGATGTCCCTAGTTAGCTAGCTTTCCACCACCGGAACAAAATAACAACAACAATCAACTAACAAAAAACTGACCTAATCAACTCAAAGGCGGACAGCTTTCTTTGCTCACGGATTTGGAAAGGTCTCCGTCCACGGTTGTTTCGTCCTATTACTTTGTGGCAACACAGAGCTCATGGCAGGAGTGTGGGGCAGAGAAGGCTCCTACATGGTAGCCAGGAATCAAAGAGAGGGGGATCCCCCCTTAGTAGTGTCAAAGCCCAAGGACAAACTTCCTTCCACTAGGCCCCACCCACTGAAGGCTCTTGTAGGCAGAAGTTTCTGTCCCAAGCAACCACACAGAGGCTTATATTAATCACAAATGCTCAGTCAATAGCTCAGGCTTGTTACTAGCTCTTACATTTTAAATTAACCCATAATTTTTATCCATGCTTTGTCATGTGGCTTGGTACCTTTTCTCAGTACGGCATGCCCATCTTGCTTTTCTGTGTCTGCTTGCAACTCCAGACTCTGCCCTTCTTCTTCCCATCATTCTGTTTGTTCCTCCCACCTAACTTTATCCTGTTCAGCTACTGGCCAGTCAGCTTCTTTATCAAATCAATCACAGCGACATATATTCACACAGTGTAAAGGAATATTCCACAGGCTCTGCGGACTCTCAATGACTCCTCATGCTGGGCTCTAGCTTTTACTACATAGCTCTTGTGGGCGCTCCAGATCTCAGCTATGACAGCCCTTGTCCCAAGGACCCAGAGGAAGGGGTGAAGACTATGATCAGGAACCACAGGAGTTTATTGTTTGCCTTCTCTTCTGGGGGGAGGGCAAGAACTAGGTGAGAGGTTGCCTGACTCCTACAGGGAGGTCCCAGGAGGTACCTGTCTCCAGACCTAGGGCAGAAGAAAGCCAGCACCAGCTGTGAACATCTGGAAGCAGGACCAGCATATACCTCCCCAGCATGCTTGCTCTGTCCTGTCAGGACATCCCGCTGGAGCTCAGGCACTACCAGAACCCCTCAGAGGCTCCCATTGCCTTTCTTTCCTCTGTCCCCTGCCCACCAAGATGATCCCTCCTGCCCAGGGCCTGGACCACAAATCCTGCTTATGGTCATGTGCATTTCAAGGGTTTCCTGGTGCACAGAGGAGCAAATTCAAGGCTATAAGATCCTGTGGCGGAGGGCCTGACCCCCAACTCCACAGGAAAAGCAAAAGACCCTGCTCCGGCTGGCTTCTCCAGCAGTGGCTGCGCCTTCCAGCTCGCTCTCTGCTGCAGCCCCTCCAGCATCCAGTCCATATGCTCCACCTCAGGCCCTTTGTGCCTCCTGACAACCTTGCTAGGGCCTCTCTCCGCACTCCCAGATTCCATTTGGCTCCAGTTCATCCTTCAGTTTCAGATTGTTTCTAAAGGGGAGCAGCCTTCAGTCCTCAGTCTAAACCAAAACTCTCTACCCAAATCCCCCTGCAGAACTGTGACTCCCCCACTCCCTCCTCTTCTATTACTTCCTCCTCCTCC